TTTTTTTTTTTTTTTGTTTTGGCTGGGGTGCGCGCTGTGCTGAACAGAAGTAGGCAAAGGACAAGAAGGCGGCGAGACACAAACACACTCTCTCACACACACACTCACACACAATAACTATTTTTGCTGCAATGCGCCAAGTAGCTAGTGCCGCGCAACAGGGATTATTCGGGTGGCGTCTCCGCCGCCTTGGTGGTATCGTCACAGCTGCGTCTTTGACTACTGCTGCTGCTTGCTCGCTCTGCACGGTGACACCGATGCAGCTGCAGCGACGGACGCTGGTGGTGGAGTTCTCCCTCGACGCCCTGCCCCCTTCACTGCAGCGTGAGTTCTGTCATAAGGAGAATGCGCGAAACTTGAAATATCTTGCGCGTGGTTCCACCAATGCCTCTGCGTGTTCTGCGGCCGTTGTGAAGGTGCTGCCGACGTGGGTGCACGTGGTGTCGTGGCGCTGCACCGCGTGCGGCTGCCAGTGGGCGGCCCGACCGGTGGATCGCACGGACCCACAAGTGTCGTCGTTTTACGCTTGCCCTCGCTGCGTCTCTGGTACGCCACCTGAGACTTCTGCCACTGCGGCTGCCTCCACTTCGTCTTCCTCGTCCTTGCCGTTGCCGTCGCCTCCACCCACTCATACGCGACGGCTTGCGGAGGTGTATCCGCTTCTCGCGGCGCAGTGGGATGAGTGCCGCAACACTGTCATTCACAACCGCGTGCTGTTTGAGTCTGTGGCGGATGTGCCGCTGCCTTGTTCCACTGTTGTGTGGTGGTCGTGTCCGCACTGCCGTCGGCCGTGGCGGGAATCTGTCGACTCCCGTGTGCACCGCCATGTGTTACGACAGCCACAGCACATGCAGGGGAGCTCTGCGGCGGTTCCACTCTGCCCGTCGTGCGAGCGCCGCGGTGTGAATGGCTCTCACCACGCTGACGCAATGAAACAGAAACATCAACATCCCCAATGCAGCAGCAACAGCAGTTGTGATGTGACAGATAAACGGTTCCTTAAGGATGATTCCTTACTTCTCGCCGAGGCGCAACTGCAGCCGCACGAGGACCCCGCCGCTCTTTCACTTCATAGCGACAAGTTACTCCAGTGGAGGTGCCGCTGGTGCACGCATGAGTTTACTGCCTCTATTGCCGATCGTCACCACCGTTACCAGCGCTGTCCTCAGTGCAGCGGCGCTGTGGCGACCCCGTTAAACCTTTTGACTATACAGCGGCCGGATATTGTCCGTGAGGTGGCGCGGACGGTTCCCCATTCGAAACTTCGAAAGATGACGATCCACGACGACAAAGTTGTGACGTTTGTTTGTCGGACATGCATGTCGCCATACCGTATGTCTGTGCGGCTGCGTTGTCTTCTGCAGCCGGGAGCCACTGCATGCCCTAAGTGCCTCTTGAGCCGTTCCGAGCTGGCGAAGGAAATGAAAGCTGCCGCCGAGGCAGGTGGTCGACGAGGTGCGGCGGTGCGTCTGCCGTTGAAGAGACTCCGCTTGAAGCGACGCAATCGGGACACGCTCGATGTCGCGCTGAATGAGCTCCGGCGTCATGACTCGGACCTCATGAACTAACGTCTTCAATGATTGCAGGGAGATCAGGTACGGTTTTTTTTTCTTCGCTATTGGTGTGGACGAGGCTATTCTCTTTCGTTACACGTGTTTACTCGTGTTGTTGATGTTGCGGTTGGGGTGGGTCTGCGCTCTGCTGATGCTATTTGTTGCTGGCGCCCTCGGTTTTGAGCTCGTTTGCCGCGGCGGGGGGGCTGCACAAACACACACCAAAAGGTGATAGATAGATAGATAAAGAGGAGGAGGAGGAGGAAGAGGACGGGGGGTCGATAGGATCTAATCGGATGAACATTGGGGAGCCGTCACTCAGCGTTCCAAACGCGGAAGGTGTGCCGCGCCTTACAGATGTCGCGCTGTTCCTTTGCGGCCGGGCGATTACGTCCATGTGGCCCAGTGTCGTCGAAGCGGACTCGCACGCGGCTGAGACGTTTGCCACGTGGTACCTGCAGCGGGTGGCGTTCATGCACGAACGCATACCTGTCACTCCTAACGGGCCCTACGGCGATGACAGAGTGACAGAGTACCGGGATTGTGGTGAGGCGAACTTCTCTCTCGCATTTCACGCGCTGTGCCGTGGGCCGTGTGAAAAGGATTCCTCTGGTTTGAAACATCAGAAGCACCAGCAGCTGTATGACCAACGTGAGCGCTCCTCATCAGTACCGACTGTATTTGGTTTCGCCCAGCAGCCAGCTTCGCCGAGGTCAACGATGGTTTCAACAACAGTGGTGGAAGCAGCTGCAGGTATTGACGAGAAAAGCAGGGCGTTTGACTTTTTTGAAGAAGTGCTTGAACTTTGCCGCGACGTTGGTGGCGTTGATGTGCGTGATAAGTTTCTTCACCGACTTGTTGCACTCATTACGGCGGACGCACGACCGAATGAGCGCACACCGCAGTTGTACTGGGGTGGAAGAAGCGAGGAGGAGCGAGCAGCTATTGTCCTACCAGCGCTTTCAACATTGCTCGGTTCTCTCAACGATGTCTTTGCACTACATGCGGCGGGCAGCATCACACGTGCGTTCACGGTCTGGATGGGCGTTAGCTGGAGCTGTGCCTCTTTCAGCTGGCAGATGCATGTGGCCCGCGCAGCAGGACGCTGGCTTGTTGACCTGGAGGCACGTCAGACTTCTGCGACACCCGGCGACACCGCAGGCCACACACGGCCGCCGCAGAGGCCAAAGCCGTTTTGTTGCCGTCGTCCGTCGTCAAAGGGGTTCTACCCAGCAAGAGATGGTAGACAAGAACCAAACATTGCAAGCATGTACGACGCCATGCGTCGCATTTGCGAGGGATGTCCTCTGGGTGATAAGGGTTTGCTGGAGTTGCTCGTGCAGAGCGGGTGTGACGTCCAGTTTCCCGATCAAAATGTCTTAGAGTACATGATGGGGGATCAGGTGACGGGAGAGGCCTCACAGGACACGCAGCAGTCACATCACTCAATCTTGTTGAGTATTACAAGTGGCGTACTTCTTTACGCACAATTTTACCTCTCGGTGCGATCGCTGGAGGCTGCCCTGCACTGCGCGCAGACTGCCGTTCTCGTTGGTCATCAGTGGCGCTCTAACGAATTCCTCACAATGGCGCACTATAGCAGTTTTCTTGTGCACATCGCATGCCAGGATACCCCTGCTGCTGCGGGTGACATCGCCATTATGCTGCAGTTGGCGGACGCTGTGGTTCGAAGAGAGAATGACACCGATGCCGTTGCCAACACACCTCGACTTCACGCTGGGTGCTTAGGCTATATGGGGGCGGCCCTTCTGCTCCTCATTTGTCCCGGTACTGTTGACACATACCTGCGGTCTGTCATCATCTCTGGCGTAGTGGCAGGAATGTCAGCCTCTTCTGACGCTGCTGGGGGTGCTAGTTGCAGCGGCGGTACCAGTAATAGCAAACCCATGACTGCTGAGGCCGCCACTGGTGGTAATTCAGTTGTCGTGCAAACCATTGCGCAAACTGTGCGACACGCACTCTGGCTCTCCGAAGTTGAGGCGTTTCTTGACCCTTCCTCGACAGTGGCAACGGAGATGATAACCGGCGTTGCGAGAGAGACAATGATGATCGTTGCAGGGCATTACGGTGTCCGTTCCTCACTGAAGGTTATTAATGCTTCGACGCTTGGGTTTCTCTTGGCGCAGCTCGACGAGGAGGCATCGACCAAATCTTTGCTGATCGTTCAGCAACCGCCAATATTGTTGCTGCGCGAGACAATGCGGCAGACAGCCCATCGCGCGTTATCTATGCAGGTGGGAACGTCTGACCCCTCACCTGGGGCGGGCCCATTCAATATCCTGCACGACTTCCTCGTGGCGGTGGAGACGCACTACGGCGAGGAAGGTGCGGAGGTGGTGCAGGGTGATTTCTTCTTTGTGTCGACATACCGCTTCATGTGTGCCATGTGGCTGCGAATCCATGGGTACATGAAGTCCGCGTACCAGGAACTCACGCGGCTTGCAGAGAGTATGCTGTTTCACAGCCGTTGCTTTGGTGAAAGCTCTGCAACTGGCGAAACATGTCCATCAGGAGTAGCGGCGTCTACACCAGGTGTGGCAATGGATAAGGCTGAAGCGTCAACGACCGGGGTGGAAAGAATGAAAAAGACAGACGGTCTGCGCTACTGGCCGCCAGATCATTTGTTGCTCTGGCAGCACGTTCAGTTTGAGCGGGCACAGCTGGCGCACTACCTTGGGTATTCCTCGACTCTGCCTGAGATCAGCCAGTCACTTCGGCATGTGAGTGCGGCCAGCCATTTTGTGATGGGCGTCCTGTACGCCGACATCATCTCCGCGATTATGTGGTCTCAGCGCCGGAATTTTTGCGGCGCCCTCCAGGCCCTTGACAAGGTCCTGGGCAGCGCGGAGAGTATCGGGTTGACGCTGGTGCAGGCGCATGTGCGGTCGCAGCGAGTCTCCATTCTGCTGGCCTGCAATCGATGGAGGGACGCGCTAGACACATTGCAGGGGATGCGACCGCTGCCGTCGGTGCTGGAGCGCTCCTTTCTTCTTGCCCAGCTGCACGCGCAGAGTGAACTACTGATGGCGTGCCCCACCGCAACGGAGGAGGACCTTGCCAGTGTTGTGGAGCAGCACGTGCGGCGGATGGAGGCCTGCGGCTGCTTCCTCTCGGAGTCGGAGCAGGAGGACTCCGTCGGCATCGCACTGACGGAGAAGTTGTGCGTGCATGCCTGCATTGCGCGCCTCGCGGTCACAACGTCGGCGGAGCAGCGGCGGGCGTGGGACGCTGACCTCTCCGCGCTGTCGCGGGAGCTGCAGCACAGGCAGTTTCAGGAGGGGCGCTGGCAGCTGCTTAGCAACACACCGATGCGGTACGTTTGCCGCGAGATACTTTCCGGCGACTTGCTGCAACGGATACACCAGGAAGCATAAAGCCTTTTACACACACACAC